GGAGGTGGAGGAAAACCATGTTGGTCTAATTAACCGCTACTGTACCGGCGACTCGGGAGCTGTTTGTTTCGCGTGTGCGGTCGCGGGGAGTGACGGGGAAAGCGGCGCAGCGGGAATGGCTGAGAGCCGAGGCTGCTTAATAATTGATCTGCGAGCTCAGGAGCTTGTTTGGTGCAAATGAGCGCGCAGCCTCATCTGCTCTCTGAGCGGCTGCAGAGAAACGCATTGTTTTCCTAATATGCCACTGAATAAAGCGATCAATATGGCCGCTGCTGATCTGAGCACAATCGTTTCAAAGCCCAGCGCCCCACAACAGCACAGTAACCTCACACACACCCACAGAAACACACACAAACACACAAACACACACACAAATATAACCCCCCCTTCCCCAACTGTTAAATCATCTGGAACTAAGTTTGCACTGCTCACTGTGGTGCCAGTGTGTGAGATTAGAGAGGGAGAGTCATTCCAGCTCCAGTTCCAGCCTGTGAAAAACCAGCAAAGTTAGCCAAGCTCTCTCTCTCTCTCTCACGCTCTTCTTTCCTCTCTCTAACACACTGTTTCTCACTCTCTTCTCTTTTTTGCACTCTCTATCACTATGGCTCTCATACTTATATTCTCTCTCTCGCCCTCTTTATTTCTATCACACTATCACTCTCACTTGCTTTGTTTGTCACTCAGTCACTCACTCATTGTCTCTCTCACACTATTTCTCTCTTACTCACTCACTCTCCCTTTCCCTTACACTGTCCTTCTCACTATCTGTCTTTTTCTCTCTCTCACTCTGTCCCTCTCATGTTCTCCCTCACTCCCTCTCGCTCTCACTCACTGTCCCTCTCACTTTCTCCCTCACTCTGTCCCTCTCACTTTCTCTCTCACTCTGTCCCTCTCACTTTCTCTCTCACTCTGTCCCTCTCACTTTCTCTCTCACTCTGACCCTCTCACTTTCTTCCTCACTCTCTCTCACTTTCTCCCTCCTCTCACTCTGTTCCTCTCACTTTCTCCCTCACTCTCTCTCTCTCACTGTCCCTCTCACTTTCTCCCTCTCTCTCTCTGTCCCTCTCACTTTCTCCCTCACTCTCTCTCTCACTCTGTCCCTCACTCTGACCCTCTCACTTTCTTCCTCACTTTCTCTCACTTTCTCCCTCCCTCTCTGTCCCTCTCACTTTCTCCCTCACTCAAGTTCAAGTTCAATAGTGCTTTATTGGCATGAATGTAATGAATGATAAGGAATTATAAAATTATAAATAAATAAATAAATCATTATAAAAATCAATAATGAATTTCATTACATTCATGCCAATAAAGCACTACTGAACTCTCCCTCACTCTCTCTCTCTCACTCTGTCCCTCTCACTTTCTCCCTCACTCTCTCTGTCCCTCTCACTTTCTCCCTCACTCTCTCTCTCTGTCACTCTCTCTCTCTCTCTCTCTCTCTCACTCTGTCCCTCTCACTTTCTCTCTCACTCTGACCCTCTCACTTTCTTCCTCACTCTCTCTCACTCTGTCCTACTCATTTTCTCCCTCTCTCACTCTGTTCCTCTCACTTTCTCCCTCACTCTCTCTCTCACTGTCCCTCTCACTTTCTCCCTCTCTCTCTCTGTCCCTCTAACTTTCTCCCTCACTCTCTCTCTCACTCTGTCCCTCACTCTGACCCTCTCACTTTCTTCCTCACTTTCTCCCTCCCTCTCTGTCCCTCTCACTTTCTCCCTCACTCTCTCTCTCTGTCCCTCTCACTTTCTCCCTCACTCTCTCTCTCACTCTGTCCCTCTCACTTTCTCCCTCTCTCTCTCTGTCCCTCTCACTTTCTCCCTCACTCTCTCTCTCTGTCACTCTCACTCTCTCTCTCACTCTGTCCCTCTCAATTTCTTCCTCACTCTCTCTCACTTTCTACCTCACTTACACTCTCTCATTTTGCCTCTCTCACTTTTTTCCTCACTCTGACCCTCTCACTTTCTTCCTCACTCTCTCTCACTTTCTCCCTCCCTCTCTGTCCCTCTCACTTTCTCCCTCTCTCTCTCTCTCTGTCCCTCTCACTTTCTTCCTCACTCTCTCTCACTCTGTCCCTCTCACTTTCTCCCTCTCGCTCTCTCTCTCTGTCCCTCTCACTTTCTCCCTCACTCTCCCTCTCTCTGTCCCTCTCACTTTCTTCCTCACTCTCTCTCTTTCTCCCTCCCTCTCTGTCCCTCTCACTTTCTCCCTCACTCTCTCTCTCTCTCACTCTGTCCCTCTCACTTTTTCCCTCACTCTCTCTGTCCCTCACTCTCTCTCTGTCCCTCTCACTTTCTCTCTCACTCTCTCTCTCTATCACTCTGTCCTACTCATTTTATCCCTCTCAATTTCTTCCTCACTCTCTCTCACTTTGCCTCTCTCACTTTCTCCCTCACTCTAACCCTCTCACTTTCTTCCTCACTCTCTCTGTCCCTCTCACTTTCTCCCTCACTCTCTCTGTCCCTCTCACTTTCTCCCTCACTCTCTCTCTCACTCTGTCCCTCTCATTTTCTCCCTCACTCTCTCTCTCTGTCCCTCTCACTTTCTCCCTCACTCTCTCTCTTTCTCCCTCGCTCTCTCTCTCACTGATTTTCTCCCTCACTCTCTCTTACTTTCTCCCTCACTTTCTGTCTCTCTTTCTCTCTCCCTCACTCTTCACATTCTCACACTGTCTCTCTCTCCCTTACTCTCTGTTTCTCTCACACACTGTTTCTCTCACTTTTTCTCTCTTTCTTACTCTCTCACTGTCTGTCTCTCTCTCTCTCCTTCTCTTTCTCTCATATTATGTCTCTCTCTCACACAGTTTCTCTCTCACTGTCTCTCTTTCACTCCATCCCTCTCACTTTCTTCCTCACTCACTCACTCTTTCTCCATCACTCCTCTCTCTCCCTCACTCTCCCCCTCTCTCAGGGTCTCTCTCTCTCTCTCTCTCTCTCTCTGCTCTCTCTCATATATTCTTTCTGTCTTTGTCACTCTGTCACTCACTCACTCTCTCACTCACTCACTCTCTCACTGAGTTCCACACAGTAATGAAGTCAGTTCAAATGGCTGAAATGATGCCTTTAATAAGAATATGTATGGAGTGCAATACACGCACACACACACACACATTCTTGAACAGAGTATCAGTGTTCAGAACTGAACATTCAATTAAGGTGTCTACAGTATCATGACTCACTCAGGCTGTTGTTATTAGTGCTCTGTGGAAGAACGTAATTGACGTTGGTGGTTTTGGATTAATGCTGAAACTCGAGGGCTCTTGTGGAACGAATAGCGCTTGCATTGGCAGTTCGCATGGTAATGAAACTGTACAGCAGAGTGTGCCACTGTGTAAATTAAAACATAACCCACACAGGGCATTTAACATCCATATTACTGTAAAAAATAAACTCACTCCACACAACACTGACTCAGAGTCATGAGACCTTATCAGACACCATGAAGCCTCAAAGTCTTGAAAAGTCTAATTACTCTAAGCTAACATATGGGGTGCATTTAACATAGAATCAAAGTGTTGAATCATAAAAAGCAGTGTAATTATGCACATGCAGGCTACTGAGCTATCAAGCTTTTCTGTGCATGCACTAAAGTGTTACTACCTGCGCAGAGACTGAGGACCAGTAATTGAGTCAGTGCATTAGGCCTAATTAAATGCATTACTTTCATTTGTGTTTAGTTACAGAAACATCAAAAAAAAGAAAAGGCACATTTCTCATCCACTTTCCGACAAGCGAAATGTAGAGAGTTAATTGCGGGTTCTGAAGATGCCGTAAGGCAGCGAGGCTGGTGTGCAACCCTATGAATTCCATTAACAACAATTACAAGATTATATCACAAGCTCACTCACTCACTGCTGAAATATTTCAACCTCCTCATCTGTTTGAATGCAGAAGTTACGGCTGCATGATATGGACAAAAGTCCAGTATTGTGATTGTGAACTGCAATTGTGAAACGAAAAAAAATATATGAAAAAGTCATCAGAATCGGAATCACTGGATCTTTGCTTCAAACAATCAGCAATTTATTTTGTGTTGTGCTTTTATGATGAAATTAATGTAAGCAAGGAAACTCATGTTGTATATAAATGCTGCTACACCCATGCGCCAATGATGAGGAGCATTTTATTATTTTTCCATTCAAATAACTGAATAACAGTGTATGCATCTCACATTACTTTGCAGCTTCTAAACAGAGTTACTTGCAGAGATCTATGCCTGCCTAAGTCTTAAAATGTCATCTGGTATGACCGTCCAACCATATATGCAGATTAAGTAATATATTAGAAGCTATTAAAAGTTCTAACCAAAATGGTTTGACGTGATTTTATATCTGACATGCATTCACTCACTGAAAAAACATAAATAAACTAAAATTCAGATTTTCTCAAATGTCATGCGGCACAACTAACAACAAAGGACTTTTATTCTGACATGTTTTTATGAGGGAGTGCAATCTCCATGGTGCAATGCAAAAGTCCCTTTCACAAATATTGAAAAAAATTGGCAAGTCGTATTTGTCAGTGATCCCTATAACAAAATGTTGCAGCATAATTCTTCATGACCCATTGGGCTAAATAATAAGCTGCCTCTTACTTTTAATGTACCTTTTATTTCATCTTATGTTATTTAAAAAGGGTTTTTTTAAGAAGGTAAAACTGGCAGCCGTTAAAAAGCATACAATGTTATTTATGTTGCAACTATGTCAACAGGACGTGCTTGTGCATGTGTATTCTATGTATTCACTTAGCCCACACAGTGTGAGCTTCAGGATTAAAATTAAACAGGCTGATAAAATTCATCCAATTTGATTGTAAAGGAATCGGAATCAGTGATAAAAATTCATGACTACAGGACCAAAATAGTTTACTATGATGACATGATTCTAATCCCTGAACTCAAAAATGATCGGTTGATAACAAGTACTGATCCAACAAACGATTCGATGCACAATAACGATTAGTGAACAATATACTGCGTAGCCGTAGCGTGAGAGAAACTAAACGTACCTATTCTGAAGGAGAGCGGCCCACTGGCGGTGCTTCTCACCCACATTGCTAAGAAGAGCAGAGGCGCCCAGGCTGCGAGCATCTTCTATACCTCCTCATGGGTCCTGCCCCGGGGGTCCCCCTGCGCACAGCCACCTGCAACCACACATACACACATCAATTACAGCAACTTACAAATGTACCATAACACTTCACGGGGGAGCAAGTCTCTGATCTCAGAGCAATTATGTATGATTCAGTGCCTCATAAAATCTCAAATTTCACTATAATTTGATTCAACCGGATTATTTGCATAGTGGGACAGCCCACATCCTCCCAGACAGGTGGAACTATTCACACAATAGATGATTACAGACAGTAAAAACACCACACATTATGTTCACAGCATATTCATTAAAATAGATTTATTGAATTTTTACATTGAGAAAATAACAGCCTGAACATTTTATTTTGGTCCAAAAAAAGAGCACAGACTTTACTAAATATTATTATAATTGATTCAAATCAATTCTAACATCCCAAGGCCCTTCAGATTGACCTGTGCCCCTAACAGATATACACTGTCATGGTTACAGCAGGAGGTTGGCCTCCTACAAGTTTCCGAGGTGTAATTTCACTCCAATTAAGTGGAATAATGTCTCAGTTACTTTATATTAATTAAAACAGTTTGCTGCAGTCATTTGTAGAGAAAGTGCTTTTGTTTTTAGCTCTTCTTTGTTTAGAGTTCACAGAAATATCCTCCTTGCCTTCTAGAGGGCATTAATTAAAACAAACAGACACCAGCCAAACTGGTGGGTGTATGTCTTTGTCTAAATATATACCATGTTAAACTTTCTCTGTGTGCCTGCCTCTTGAGACAAAGACAATATGACAATATGATAATATAATGTGCCATGTGAATATAAGAGCAGTGGTTATGTTTGCTATTACAATCTTTGGCTAGCTATGAATGAAGGCTGCTAAGACACTGACACTGTATTTGGTGCTGTATTATAGTGGAAGGTCATAAACTAAACTGTAAAACAGATCATATCAGATATCAGTCACGAAGGACAGGCTTATGGCTGTGGAATAAATATCTCTAAAAAGGTGTTATAATATGCTATAATAATAATAATAATAATAATAATAATAATAATAATATTTTCTCAAAAATAACTTTTTATAATAACCGAATTTTTTTCTCTACTGCAAAATGCTAAAACATTTTTGGTATGAGACATACTGACATATATTAGAATATTTGATAACACATGATTAATAATTGTTATTAGTTTTAGAATTCATTTGTCACTGTTGGATCAAAACATCATATCTCTAAAATGGTAACTTTAACAGAGAAGGGAAAAAAATAAAACCTTCTTAACTTTTACGAAAGTTAATGTAGTTTTGGACCAGTTAATGTGATTTTAGCCCATTTCTATTGGTCCCCTTACAGAAAAGTCACATTAATTTTACACATGAATAAAACACTTTTTTTCACACTTCACGTGACGTATATGTTCACCCTGAAACAAGGCAAAGTGTAAGTTATGCAGACAACATTCAAAAATGCAGATACAAGTTTTTTGGCAAGACAGCAACAAAATATGCACTAATAAATCATACTATTTAGTTATTAACCAATTACTTCTTTAATTATTCATAGAAGTCTAATCATTACTGACAGTTTGTTAACAAACATGAGTGTTATGCATGAAATTATATTATTATACATTTATAATCATGCTATAAAGCTTAGGCACAATTTTTAGTGTATATACATTTTTTCAGTGAATATATTTAATTATTTATATAGTGAATATAGTGGTTTATATCAATGACTTTTAGTGTTTTAAAAAGTATAAACACTTTTGATTAACTATGCATTAAGGAGAGGTTTATGCATCACAAATACCACAATAACAAATAACGACTCCATCATTTAAAACAGGATGTAGATGATTACTTTAAGGTGTTATGTTGGTGTTAGTTTGTTATTCACAAACAAGAATAAGTGTATGACTGATAAGAATCAAGTTATAATTTATTAGCTCTGGGTTGTGAGAACAAAATAATGACTTCTATTAATGTTTAGGTTTCTGTAATTTACAAATATTATCAATTACATGTAGAGTAAATGGTTGATAATTCAAATGGTATCATGTATTAATGCATTATTGTGTTAACGCATAACATAGCAATTAAATAATTATTAAAAGTCAACATAAAAACAGATGGTGATTAGGTTCCATTATATTAGGATCTGTTATTATAAATTGTTACTGAATGTTACCTTGAAATCTGATGTTTATGGGGTGATGCTATGCTTAACTTTCACTTTTTTATTTTTATTCTGTCATTTTGGACCATTTTTGTTGGTCCTTTTGTCATGAAATTTTGACTGAATGTAAAGGGCAGCTGGTACTCTCATACTATGTCTCTCATTGAGCGAGGGGGTGAGGTTAGAGTAACTCTGGCCTGCGGGCCCCACTTTGAGCAGCCCTGGTCTAAGATCTTAACTCCTGCCCTCAAATAACAGGTATTAGGTTTTAACCTGAGACTGATTTAAACTCAGAACCCTTAAAGTAATGTCACCTTGTCCCCGGAGCATGCAGTGGCCAGTGAAGAGTGAAACAGAGAGTTTGTCAAATTTAAACCTAAGCGAGACAAAGCATCCAGTGCGTTCATATATTTCATTTGAATGTGCACCCCCTCCTCATTCACGCTCTCCTGTTCACTGAACCTAATCTCTTCATATCATCGCATTAAGTGTGAAAAACAATGTGTGTCAAGCATCAAGCAGTCAGACGCGGCCGCGCTGCCATTCATTACAGGACGAGCTTCCACAAACCTGTAGCTACATTATCACAGCAGGAAAATGGCAATTAAAAATATACACAGGCCCAATTCAATTCACTCAAATGCAATTATAGCAAATCGCTGCATGGTCTGTGCTCAGTGGGCTGCACAGTGGAATACTGAGACACTCGAGCCTGAACTTGACAAGTCCTGTACAACAGCCAACAGATGTCAGTGAACGTTCACAGTTGGTGGCTGTACATAAAATAAAGCATCAAATAAGCTCTTTATATTTTAACCTTCCTATCTGTGGTCACATTAGTGACCCTCACTATCACTCTCTATAACCAGGGTACTCAACTCTGCTCCTGCAGGGCTGTAGTTCCCTGCTTTAACACAATCACACCTGAACGTTAAAGGGGAATCCCACCAATTTATGACAGATTTTTATTCTGACTCTGTAATTCAGTATATCCACACATCGGAAATGTTTAATGTCTATAAAAGGTTTTGCCAAAGCTTGGAAGCCCCTGGTCTTTTTTTGTTTGCTTGTTTGTTTGCTTGTTGTGTTGACTGTCTAAATGAAAATAAATAGACATCCTCTACAGAGAACACACTTCTGCACATTTTACTGAACAATTACTGTTTATTTGCTGAATTTAATGTGTTAGGGGGAAAAAACATGAGATGTGGCCCGTGCAAAAGTTACAGCACATTATATTTTATGTTTTTATAATGTTTTTTGAGAGGCCCAAAATATGTTTTTAAAAGCCATTAAGGGAGAAGAGGTACATGAAGGGCACTGTGAGCAAAAAAAAAAACTCACATCAACATGACATATAAAAACTGAGAAGACATGTGTGGGTGCACTGGTAGTTTTGGAGGGTAACCAAACTGTGCTGGACTAAGACCCTCCAGGACCCCTGCTATATCATATCATAAATTTGATTGAAGTTATACACTTGAAAAAACTAAACACAACAGGAACTGTCCACCCAGCTTGATTATTCAAGCTTCCAAATTATTTGTTGGTGCAACACAGTCTTCATCAGGCAAACAGCCATATGAAACATCCAATTTAGACAGACTGGGGACAGTTAGTGACATCACGCACTCATCTACCTGCAAGGAATCACATGATTTAAGCCGGACGTTAGCTCCTTGATTCCAAGACCTGATAACTGGAGACCAATTAAGTATTAATTACAAGCTACTCATGTTCGCTAACACATACGCTAACAGACTTTAAAAAAAAAGGCCTATATATTATTGTTCATGAGCCTCAAACTGGCTTTATCAATGGGCATCATATAAGCAATAATATACGTTTAGTACTTGATTTAGTTGATGACTCAAATTTTATGGATTCAGACTTTCTCATTGTTTTGCTAAACTTTGGTACGTCATTTGACACAGCTGAATGTGACTTTTTATTTACATCCTTTGTTATTTGGTTTTGGTGATAACTTCCTGTCTATCATTAACATGTTTTATAATGATATTTAATAAACAATGATAAATTAAACATAATAATAATAATAATATGAAATGACATACAATAGCTCTTTAATTATTAATAAGGATACTTCTAGGAGATTTCAACTTCAGTTTTATGTTTTCTCTTCATTTTAGCTGTCAACTTACTCGCTATGAGTGCTCCCAAGCATCCTCTATTGAAAAGTATTTCAAATTTTGAAAGGGAAATTAGAATCTCTACGCAGATTGGATTTTAGAAAAAGGACTAAATATCAACTGCTCTCGAGATTATTACATTTTTTTTCTCCTGCCTCTGGCTTGCCTTTAAACCTAAACAACCGAGAGTGTTTGAGCTTGTTTGACACTCAGGACAAAAACCTCCAAGGTACAAATTAAGCATCGTTTTAAATAACTGTGTACATGTTGGCAAGAATCTCATTGTCAGGCAGCATCTCAATTTTTTATAGACTAAGAAGAAACTACATCAATTTTTAACAACTAGCTTCATAGAGATTGTTCAGTTTTTGGCACAATACTTGTGTCAAAACTAGAAGGTCTTTCACAGTGTGTCTATCTGCTCTATGAGTTTCTGAGAAAAAAAATGTAAAGAAATCAATAGATGCTTTCTAAATGTTGTACGTAAGAACAAGCAACATGAACTGAAAAGCTCAGTACTATCCTGCAAAAGACTGGAAGGTGGGATGGAAAGCGTGGACTCAATAATTCCTTCAGGGAATTGATTGAACTGGTTGAGAAGTTTTTTGGAGAATGCAGATTCTACGTGGAACTTCATCCCCCAGCATATCTTTAGGAAAACTGGTGGTCTAGATCTAGTCCTGAGATGTAATTATTTACCCTCTCAA